GTGCGTGTGTTTGTGTGTGTAGTGTGTTTGTGTGTGTGTGTAGTGTGTGTGTGCTTACAGCTGCTGCTGGACTGCAACACTCTGAGTTGCATGTTTCCTGCAGTGTGAGACAGCTGCAGGCTGCTTCCTGCAGGCAGCAAATGCCCATTTGCAGCTGCCTGTGGACCTGCAGTGTTACAGCGCTCCCAGGACAAACGGGGAGTCCAAGCAGAGGCTCCAGCTGTTCGAGTCCCGGAGAACGTTTAACGTTGCTGGTTTGGACGTTTGAGCTGTGTTTTTGGAGTGTTTGCTGAATCCTTTTAGAAGATTTGGCCGTTGGATTTATTGAAGCTTTAGAAAAACTCCAAGACTTATTTATGAAGTGTGATAAGAGTCCAGGGACTTGAGGGAAATGTCCATTAGAAGATTCCAGGAAACTTGAGGAAGTTTGATGAATTCCAGGTGATTCCAGGACTCAGAAAGAAAATTAGGTGGTCGTCAAAGTTGATCTATGGAGTCATAAAATGTTTCATGACGTCGGTGAACAGTGATCTGGATCAGCAGCGTTGACTCCTGATCACACTGCCCTTCACAGGGGGCGGGGCTACTGAACCAGAGGGGGTGGGGCTACAGCCTGTGCAGTCTAAACACAAACGGAGTCTAGAAGACTTTCTGACTTGTTCCTGGTGAGGTTTGATGCAGGACACACTTTGGTGATACTGAAACAACCACAGATGCATTATGGGTAAGTCCAGACATGCTGCATTAAACTTTGATGCTGGATAGAGATGTTGTCATTGTTTCCCTGCGTGCAGCTGCAGGTTCAGAGCAGACGGAGCGTGTCGCAGTAAAGCAGGAGAGCAGATTTGTTCAGGTTAACGTGACGCTGCAGTCGATAAACACTGCAGGGCTGCAGGGCTGCAGGGCTGCCCCAGTCACCCGTGGTGATGACTAAATGTGCAGGTTACTCCCGTGGAGTAATCCTCCTGTGGAGTATTCCTGCTCCACCTGTGCCGTGCTGTGTGCAAGCACAAGTAGGATGTACTTTGACTATTTACATCAGGAAGTCTTCTTCTTCTCGTCACATCTCAAGTTCGTGCGTAAATATTCTTACAGCTGTAAAAAGGATTTTGTATAATGAGTCAAATCAGTGCCAGGATGTAACTGTGAGTCTATGCATCAGTAATAATGAGTCAGTGTTTAACATCGAAGCCCAGCACACTGACCGGTCGGTCTGCAAGCATTAATGATGAGTAAAGTTTAGTTAATGATAACGAGAATGCCTGCTGAGCAGTGGAGCCTCACCGGAGTCGTACCCGGCGGCTTTAATGAAAGTGACCTGAAGTGAAATGTAACACTTTCTTTGTTTCCCTGTGGCCACACTCGCCTCCTCAGTGTGACAGGAAGCTGTCTGCTCCCTGCTCAGAGGAGGAAATCTTGGCAAAGGTGAATCACCTCCAACATCTTCAGGATGATGATGAGTTTTATCAGAACTCGGTGTATCTGTGAAACGTCTTCATCACCACGAGGACTCGACTCCCTGAAGACTGAAAACATCCAGATCTTCTTCCTCGATCAGACGTGAGGCTTAGTGAAAGTCTGCAGGAAATGACTGCAAGTCACTGTGTGTGTGTTTGTTTATAAACCCTGGGGGGAGCTCTTCCTGTAAAGCAGCAGATGATTGCCGTAAATGAGGCCGACGCTCCAGCAGGTTCCTGCTTGTTTAGCGGGGACCTCGTCCTTGGTGGGTCGCCGTGCTCTGAGCGTCTCTGTAAGGACTCGCTCTGCAGCCCTGCTAACGCTCGCTCTTTGCTAACGCTCGCTCTTTGGACCCGTGGTCTTCTCTGCGCTCCTCTGACTTGCAGAGGTGTGGGAACCCCGTAAACTTTATTAAAAACTGATTTTCGGCTTTCTGCAATGATTCTTTTCACTCTGAGGAGAAAGTTAGGCGGATGAAGCTGGATCTCCATCAGGATGATAACATCACCGCCATGCTGCCGTGTGTGGGTGATGGTTGGGGGTGGGCTTTAAATGGGCTCATAGTTGTCTGTGTTCTGTAGTTTTATGACTTGAGGCTCTGAGGCGTGCAGCACAGAGCGCTCTGTCGTCCAGATGAAGAAGGAAGGACACGGGTCGTCGGGTTATGTCACATGCAGGAGGTCTAAACACTGTGACGAATCCACGCCGTGAACATGTCACAGCTTCGACTCAGAGTGTGTTGTTTTGTGTCTGACGGTGTGGTTGAAGAAATCCTCTCTCTCTCTGTAGGACCAAAGCTTGCCCGACCCTCTGTCGCCCATCTACGCCAACGTCCCATCTCTGAAGAAATTGGCTCCGCCTCAGGGCCCTTCTGGCTCCTCCCTCTCCTCTCCACCTCCCACAGACCACTCCCTCTCAACATCAGACCACAGCCCATCATCTTCTACCTCCTTGGGCATGACCAGCCCCAACTGCCCAGTCAGCGCACAGGACAGATTGCAGGTAAGGCGACCTTTGACCTTTCCAGGTGTGTTTTGAGTTCATGTTTGCGTTCGGGTCACTTAAACACCAAACGGAGATGAAGCAGCAGCGCCAAAAGACTCTGCATGAAATGAATGTGAATGTAGACGAATGTCCTAAACTATCAGGACAGATGAAAGAAGCTGACGTGCAGCTGAGGAAAAGAAGTGCAAGAACAGAGATGATGAGTGCGGTTCACATGGTGAGCCCATACGCTTACAGGTTCAAATCGATATTTAGAAAAATGCAGGAATTCCTTCTAAAAGGAGTAAAATGGGTTTAAAATATTGAAAAGAGTGTTTGCATGATATATGGTTCATTTTCACAGGTTTCCTGTTTTATTGTGAAGAGCTTTGTAAGAGGAAGTGAATGTGGTTGTGATCGGTAGCGTGCTCTGACAGAAGTTTGTGCCAGTGTTCATGGATGGACTATCTGCTCCACGGTCTACGTGCACATTTCTGCCCCACATCCACGAGCAGCTGCTCACTTCTGTTTCAGACGCCTCGCTCTGCACACGCGACTGTTTCTGTACAGACAACATGCCTCAGCTGTATCATGAGCCTGGCATCACAAAATAATGTTTACCTTCTGTGCAGTTTCCAACATCTTGTGATAAAACTGAAAGTTCTCCGAGCTTTTCAGGAGCCGGACAAACAACACAAACTAAACGCTACACTTAAAGTCTTACTGAACACGAGGACACATCTGCAGTAGGCATTTGGACACTTGTGGATAAAAAAGTTATTTCAATCCAGGCACAGACTGAGAGTTGCCCATCCTCAGCCTTACTCTCTCCTTCCAACACTTTGCTCGTGTCCTGCATGAGACGTCCTTTCAGGTGACGCTGATAGTCCAGCAGCTGCAAGACGCCACATCCATAAGTGACACTGCAGGTGTGGTAGAGAAGGCGGGGGCGCGGGACGGGCAGCTGAAGCTGCAGGAACAACATCTGGTTCTTTTCTTAACAGTGCATCAGGATTACAAAAAGAAAAGAAAGTAATTGCATTTACTGAGTTAAAGCTGCCATCGGGCAGCAGCCCTGGAGTTACTAAAACACTGGATTCAAAGCAGTGTGACAGCACAGGAAGTGACTGAAATCTAAATGAACTCGAAGGTAAACGACAGGTCAGACACCACGGCGGCATTAAAAGAGCAGCACTGGATAACACATAAAAGCTCAGCTAAGCTAGCATTAAACACACTAAGGAAGAGCAGAAATCTAAGATTTCAGAATCGGACGAAATCAGAAAAATCCATTTTGAGCGAGACGTAGATGATGTGTACGCTCGTTTCCTAAAACGATGATTGCTGGGAGTGACGTGACAGGAGACGACGGTCCAGACAGAAGAAGGGCTGAAGGCTGATGATGCACAGCTGAGGTAGTGCGCTTCATCATGCTGTAGCGACAGATTACACACCAATGTAAGTGGTCGACAAAGTTTAGTGATGGCAGCGTTACAAACAAAGCGTATCTGGAGAACATTTGTACGAATGGCTCGTTTCTCTGCCATCGTCACTCTGACCTTCCATTGTGTTCCACTCCAAACTCACCGCTGTGTGCAGCTCAGAGGTACTTAAAGTTTTATCAGCTGTAATATGAGCATGTGGCGTCTGTTCCACAGGGATCCGGTGACCAGTTACTGGACACCAGTTTGTCTTACTGGTTGAGCAGGCGTCCATGAGCCCTGTGCCCCTTTCTCTCATGTCTGTAGCCAACACTCACTGTAGCCTGATGGGATTGTTTCAGGTGTCACATATGAGTCTAAGAGGCTTTATATATTTTATGTCGTCAGTATTTTTCTGTGAATTAGTGCAGCGGTCCCGACCCCCGGGCCACGGCCCGCTACCGGACCATGAGAGCGTAGACTCGGGTGTGAAATTTATGGTTTTCAGTGTGTGAATGTATGAATGTGTGTGTGGATGTGTGTGTGAATGGGTGGATGACTGGATGTGTAAAGCGCTTTGGGGTCCTTAGGGACTAGTAAAGCGCTATACAAAAACAGGCCATTTACCATATTTTATCGTTAACTCGGTTTGCCTGGGTCTTCCCAGAAAAAAAATATTTACACGTTACCATAGTGACCAGAGAGCATTAAGGGGCAGAGAGGATGTTACTCTGTTGTTGGTGCATTTCAGGAGGACGCTGCTAATAAAGTTACACAATCACACAGTGAATTCACGTTTATTATTATATTTACAAAATACCAGTTTTTGTCTTGGTCCTATCCTTTTATTTTGTTGTATTTATCCGCAACACCTTAAAGGCCGGTCCATGAAAGTATTGTCTGACATTAAACTGTCCGTGGGGCAAAACACGGTTGGGGACTGCTGGATTAGTGAATTTGGTCCACAGCCACAGACAAGTTTTAACTTCTAGTGTGCAAACAGGAGAAGACAGGCCTGATCATCATTGTACAGAGCACGAACTACTTAAAGTTTGTATAAGTAATATTAAACAGTGGAATAAATAAACCAAAGGGTAGGAATTACACCCAAAGAACTGTATATAAAATTAAATCTATAAACAAATGGACTGATAAGCACACGCACGCACGCGCACACACAAACATTATCACTCAGCTTAACTCAACAAAACATTGAGACTGGACTGACTAATCAACACAAGCGCAAACACACTGACCTACACCACCAAACCATCATACACACCAACCTGTAAATGCTCTTTTGCACAATATTATTACTGGACTTTCTGCACTGACTTCTTTACTTCCTAATTTTTGCTGCTACACTAAGGAATGTTTATTGTTCCTCCACTGCCTCAACTCATCATCACAAAACCTTTTTATTATGTTACGTTGTGTTTTTTTGTCACACTGTCACTTTGCTGCTCATGTTTGCACATTTGCACGTGCACTTTGTTGTCTGCTGTCTGTTAACAAAAAAAAGGCTTCCTTAGATAGTTAGATAGTTAGTTTTTGTTAATAGTGTGGATGCCTGAATAGGCATCCACACTATTAAGTTCCTGTTTCTTTATTCGTTATCCTTTATTATTCTTCAAGTTGCCACCTTCTTTGCCGCTTAACTACTCCCTCAGTTTTCAGCTGTTTTTCACCGTTCAAACTCTAAACTGTTCTGTTCTTTCTGCTGATGCCTGCTATGACTTTTGGTGCTCATAACTTTTATACTTTTTCAGATATTAAGCTTTTTATGTCATTTTTTGGCCCATTTTGCTGAATAGGACCACATTATCAGTGTGGTCACCAGTTTTGCTTGCTGGGCTGAGCCATGTTTTAGCTCAGTGAGATAAGCAGCCGTTCTCAGAGTAGGAGGCCCGGGTTCAAATCCTGCTTGTGGCAACATTTCTTTCGGTTAACAGTTAAACTTTTTGAACTCTTATCAGCACAATTCTCAGCAGCTTCTGCTCATTTCAGCAGAATTGTCAGTCTCTCCACCTCTCCTTGTGAGAATGAGTTTGGCTCAGTGAAACAAGTGGCTACCTTGAGACCAGGAGGGCCAGGTTCGAATCCTGCTCAGGGCAACATTTTTTTTTCAGCAAAGATTTCTCCGTCTTTACCCCTTTCAGTAGAATTTTTTGCTTTTCACCACTTTTCAGCAAAAAATTTCTGCTTCTTCACCTGTTTTCTGCAAAAGTTTCAATTTCTTCACCGCCATACAACTTTTTGCAATTTTTTAACCTTTTCAGCTTTTTTCAGCAGACATCTTATGCGTTAAGGCATCCACACAGCATTTTCGCAGGAAATGCAAATTTTTCTAGTTGTAATTTATGTTAGGTCAGTCTGTCTTGTCTCTGCTAGCCAGCTAACTAGGCCTCTTAGTTAGCTAGTTTAGTGTTTTCTGTTAATTTATGTTGTAAATTTATGTTGCATGTAGCACCTTGGTCCTGGAGGAGCGTTGTTTCGCCTCACTGTGTACTAACTGTATATGGTTGAAGTGACAATAAAGCCAACTTGACTTGACTTGACTTGAAATGAAGGATTTGTAAGTTTAGCAGAGGAATAAAGTAAAGCAGGAAAAATGTACAATTTCATTAAAAATACAAAAATGTGATTACAATGAAGATCAGAGTACAACACAGAACATGTAAGAGTGTGAAGGAGGAAAGCAGGAAGTATAAATGCAGTGACAACAACAAATCTGATGACAGAACCAAAGCAGACTTCCTCATGTAAAACTTCCAGTGAATAAGGAAGGTCCTGCATGTGAGTGTACTCAGTCCTGCTGTGCTGACCTCTGTGCAGGGCCACACTGAGCAGGACAGCGGGAGGCAGCCTGGAACCAACCACATGAACAACTCTCGCAATCCTCCACCCGTGCCGGTTAGAGACCTGGACCGGTCCAAGGGAAAAGAAGGGGGTCAGCTGACCTCCATCTCCCCCGCCTCCTCTCAGGTTTGAATCACTGCCTTCATAACCCCCCAGTCCATTATCAGGTCCTCAAAGTGATGTCGTCATGCTTCCCGTCAGGGCTCTGGTGGCTGGGAGAAGGTGTTTGATGAAGTCTCAGGGAGACCTTACTACTTCAACCGCAGCACACGAACCACATCCTGGAATTTACCTGAGCCATCCTCCCCGTCACCCCCACCTGGATCTGCAACCCACAGGAAGCACGAGGGCGGCCCGGTACGACCCAGTTTAAAACGATGACCAGGTTCAAAGTCAGAACAGAAACTAGAACAACAAACTTAGTCATTTTTTAAATTGTGAAATGTCAAAATGTCACTTCAACAGCTGAAAAACTGAAATCCATCTGATATTTTATCAGCTGTATCAGGTGATGCTTAGTGAACAGGTGGTCTTTGTGTTAATGAGGATTCAGGGTTGTTTGATTAAAATGGTGAACTTCCTCCAATGACTCCTCTTACTCTGATTACTGAAAGCCTCCCCTGCCAGAGGAAGACTATCCTGTAGGCGACCATAAAGACAACAACGCCAACTTTAGAACGGTACCACACACACAGACTGAGCACACGGTTCATTGCCACCCATCAATGACAGTCCTTGGATTGTTCCGAATATTCTCCCACATTTGTGCCTTTTTCTCTCCACAGCATCCTCAGCAGAGCTTGGGCCTGATACCCAGAGCTCACCTGGACCTGAAGGATCCTCAGGTAATCAGTTGGTCAGCGCCATCTGTGTGTCTGCTTTTTATTTGCATTAATCCATTGGTTTGCTGACTGTTACAGATTCCCTCAGTGCCCCAAAGTCTGATGGGAAATGGAGTTTGTGAGGACGGAGCATCGCTGCAGGCCAGGAAGCTGAGAGTCAGCATGGGAGAAGACGTGAGTGAAAACTTTACGGTACAGCAACAACCTTTTTAGGCCTGCGTCACACAGACTTTAACTGGTTTCTGGGTTTCAGACGTGTTCCCATGGCCACCGGAGGAACTTCTCCGATCACACTGACATGATAAGCAGACACGCCTCCCCCGACAGTCCACAGGTAGACACTTACCTGTGTCACTATCACGGCTCCATTCATTCGCATTGACTCGCTCGTTCCCGCTCATCCATTTTTTCATTTGTCGATCTGATGTCATCCTGTTTTCCCCCATCAAGCTCTCTAATAGGTGCAGACTGAAGAGGAATCTGTCCAATCAGAGCACAGGGTCCAGCTCACAGCATGTAGGTCTTGGCACCTGATTGGCTGTTGGGAAGATTAGTGAAGGTTTCCAGTAGATGTGGTTCCACTAACTCATCACATTAACATCTTACTAACCACTGCCTGACGGGAACTTTTTGGGCAGTTCAGACTGACAGCGCCACCTGCTGTGCTTCCTCAGTATTACGTGTTAAACATTTAGAAAGATTTTTCCTGACACCATGAAGTTCAAGTGTGTTTATCGGTGTTTAGATTTTTACTGTAAGGCTGAATTTGCCCAGAAAGTTGCTCAGTGTTTCTCCACTAACCCTTAAATCGCTCAATAACACCGATCCATCACACATTAACAGCTCTGAGGGTCTGATTGGTCTCTTTCTATGGCCCTGCTGTTAGTTCTGGTAACTCCAGCATCTCTGACTGTGTCCACACTGGAGGCTGGTGTGCACACGGAATCAGACTTTGTCCACAGGTTCACACCACACTTTGGTGGTCCTCCTACTTCTCCTGTAGCCTCAGCAGACATTCCTGTCCTGATTCTATACACGAACGTAGCTGGTCTTTGACCTGCTGCTTCACTCACTCTGTGCAATGTTCAAAGGAGCACCAACAAATAAAACAGGAAACCACCTGCAAAGGAAACATGTGCACATTGTCCAGAGTTCATGAGGAAAATGGTTTAAGACATAAAAACTGAGAGCAGATGAAAAGAAGATGCTGCTGTGTGCATCCCAGTGTCCGTGAACGCCCCATGTGCAGATGTGCAGATCGTCTCTGATGACGAGCCAAGGACCAAAACCAAACACTCCCAGAAATCTTGGACCCAATGCTAAAATCAACAAACGCTAAGTTTAATAGTTGCAGACTTCAAAGCAAGCTGGCCATTAACTATGACTCAAGCGGTAAGCTTACCAAAGGAGTTTACCCTCCCAGACACCATTCCATGTGTTACTGCTTCAAGCTAAACAACAAGAAGTGTGTGCATGACAACATTACATGAAGTAGAATTTATTAAAAACAAACTCACAGTAAGTTCTGCTGAATGAATAAAAGTCACCACACCTGGGCCAGCTTTTATCAAGTTGAAGGTACAGGTGTGCTGCATCAGCTGACCGCCTCGCAGAGAGGAGAGCATCAGCAGCACGAGGGCAGTGGGAGTTTCAAGGCTCAACCTTGATTAATGCATGAGTAACACAGTGGATTGTGAAAATGGCTGCTGTGGAGAAGCTTTGGTTCACGTGGTAGTAAAGTCCCTCCTGTGTTTCCTGAAAGCAAACTCCTCCTTTGTCAGATGAAAAGTTCAGTCATGTTTTAATTAGGGATGCAAAGAGGTCTCTCGAGGCCTTGTTTGTGTCCGTGAGGAGGTCCTCTGTCCGCCGAGAATGTTTTAGGTGTCCTTGAATAATCACATAAATCCTTGAGTTTGGTTCCTGGAAAGATTTTCAGGTATTTAAAAATGTTTCCAGCACTGATCAGACTGATGGATGAAATGAGACAGGCTGATAAAAGGCCTTTCATTAGACCCTCACCACTCCCGTGTTTGCAGAGGAGTCACATTTCAAAGCAGGTAACCTGAGGACTCAGCTGTGTGTCTGCATTCCTACAGGGACACCTGCTGGAGAAAGCAGGGATTCTCAACAAGACTAAAGTGGCTGAAAATGGAAAAAAGATCAGGTGAGAGCAGAACAATTGTAAAGGTAAGGTGTGTGCTCGTATCTGTTCTGTGGGTTTTGTCGGAGGTAACTGTGTCTGCTGATTTTTGGACAGGAAGAACTGGAGCCAGTCGTGGACTGTCCTGCATGGAGGGATCCTCACATTCCATAAAGACCCCCGACCAGCCGGGAATGCTGTAAGAATCAGTTTACAGAGTCCAACAGGAGCTCAATGCACCTTCTGCCTCGAACCATTACTTGTGTTTTCTACTCTCTGTAGTAATAACATTTCTCAGGACTAAATACCTGAGAAATGTTTGGATTTCATATGTGGAAGACTTAGATTGATCTAATAAATGAACAAGGCAAACAGAGAAAAACTAACTTGTGAGAAGGAATTCAATGAGTTATTAAACACAAACAATACCGCCAGCATTAATAAATGGCTACGATATAGAAACTTTAGATTTCCATCCATGAATCATTGATCCTATTGTGCTATTAAACTATGGTGATGATGAGGAGGAGGAGGAAGGTAATAAAAAATAAAAAATCAACTTTATTTCTATTGCAAATAAAAATACAACAAAGTTGACGAAAGTGTTTCAGAGTCGGTCAGAGCAAAAGCACAAGACAGAATGAAAAGAAAGAGTTAAAAGGAAACAATATACAACTGTTTGAAACAAAAATTAGCCACAAAGTAACAAAGTAGTTTGAATCAAAAGCCAGACTAAAGTTTTAAGACGCAATTTAAAAGACTGGGTGGACTCGGAGGAACGAACATTAGGAGGGAGGTTATGATGAAGATGATGATTATGACGGCGATGAGGAGGAGGAGAATGAGGATGATGATGATGAGAAGGATGAGGATGATGATTACTTTTATTATTAGTCCTTATCCAGGTGAAAAAAATCTCATTGAGATTAAAAATCTCATTTCCAAGAGAGACCTGGCATCATGGCAACAAAAGTCAAAATACACGAACCACATGACTATATAACTTATTATAACTTATAATTATGACGGCGATGAGGAGGATGATGATGATGACTTGTTTTCCCTCAGAGCAAAGCGTCACAGATTGTTCCAGAATACACCGTTGAACTCAGAGGAGCTTCGGTGAGCTGGGCCTGCAAAGACAAGTCATCCAAGAAGAACGTTCTGGAGGTACTTTTTACCCCAGTTACATCAGCTTCCCTTCTTACCTGCTTGATGAAGACCACTGTGGTGTTTGTGTGCAGCTGAAGACACGTCAGGGCTGCGAGTATCTGATGCAGTACGACAAGGAGAGCATCATCAGCGACTGGCTCAAAGTGCTCCAGGACACCATCGGACAGCTGGTGCCAGACGGAGCACACAGACCGGTAATCCTTCGAAGCCTCGTGCCTCGTTCAGGCTCTTTGTTTCAGAGCGAACTGGCTTACAGTGAAGTCTGTTTTCAGGACCAGGAGCACCTATCAGACAGTGAAGACGATGGTTCTTCAGACAAAGAGGACAAAGACAGGAGATCGATATGTGAGTCTTTGAACTTTAACCATCTCCAACATCTGTGCAGACTCGGCCTGATGAAGGTCTGAAGCATTAATAGCTCAGGAAAGGAGCACAGGATGGCCCTGAGCTTAAACATGTTACCAGCTGGTGTTTCTGATGTCTTTTCAAAATGACCCACAGAGTGATGGAATAAGTTTATTAATAAGAACGTTTTATTGGCAGGTATTGCACAGTGGTTGTCATAGTAACACTGAACGCTTTCTTCTTCTGCTGCATCTTCAGCGAGCAGGATCCCATCAGGAGCTGACATGGAGCAGACACGAGTTCGGTCCAAACTGCGACGCTTCCTGCAGCGAAGGCCGACTCTGCAGAGCGTCAAAGAGCGAGGATACATCAGAGGTAAAAAGGCCTCCCGATCACATGCACCGACCTTTAAATGCTACAAACTATTCACAGTTTGACTTTTCTATCAGATGCAGATGTTTACCTGCATGAACCCGCTCAGTGATCCAAAGCTAACTCACTACAACAACAGACTCACCTGTATATTCATTTGGTGTTAGTTTAATGAGTGAAATTAGCAGCTGAGTTAACCCATTTACATCAACATGTGCACAGCGCACGGGTAAATACAAGATCCAGAGATGAACAGAAAAACATAGTAAAACAGTAATGCATCCAAATATGAGTTTATCAAGAGTGAATCACGATGTAGACGATATGAAAACTGTAAAATGATGCTAAGCCTGATGACACAGAAACATGCAGCTCGTTGATCAGACTGGAAATGTCTTCCAGACAACGTCTTTGGCTGCCACCTGGACACTCTGTGCCACCGAGAACACAGCACCATCCCCAAGTTTGTGGAGAAGTGCATCAGGACAGTGGAGCGCAGAGGTGACGGAGGCACACATGTTACCCACGCGCTACAGGAAACGCACAACAAAACATCCCAAAAAGTTAACTGTTCATCTGGACGTAACGTTTTCAGTGTGAGAAACATTCAGATGAACAATCAACCTTTTGGGATTAGGGATGGGTATCATTTAGGTTTTATCCGATACAGGTGCCAAACTGGTACTTTTGAAACGGTGCCGCTGCTTAAACGGTGCTCAAACCGGTGCTTAAAGAATGGAGAACACAAACTTTGTCCAAA